TGTCCTCTGGGTGAACTCCCGCCACGACCTTCACCGTTGCCGGGCCGAGAATTGCCCTCCACTGAACGTCGATCGTTGTCTTCATCACTAGAAGGATAGACACTTGGAGAACCCCTGTCGTGTCCACCGCCGTCGGTGAGCGGAGAAAGTCCTCCCACAGAGGCACCACCGCGTTCATCTTCGTCGCTTGGAGGGTGTCCTCTGGGCGAACTCCCACCACGACCTTCACCGTTGCCGGGCCGAGAATTGCCCTCCACTGAACGTCGATCGTTGTCTTCATCACTAGAAGGATAGACACTTGGAGAACCCCTGTCGTGTCCACCGCCGTCGGTGAGCGGAGAAAGTCCTCCCACAGAGGCACCACCGCGTTCATCTTCGTCGCTTGGAGGGTGTCCTCTGGGCGAACTCCCACCACGACCTTCACCGTTGCCGGGCCGAGAATTGCCCTCCACTGAACGTCGATCGTTGTCTTCATCGCTAGAAGGATAGCCACTTGGAGAACCCCTGCCATGTCCACCGCCGTCGCCGCTGAGTTCATCTTCGTCGCTGGGAGGATGTCCTCTAGGTGGACTCGTGCCACGACCTGTGCCCATGCAACCCGGTGAAATTCCTTCCACACTGCCGCTGCCACGTTCATTGCCGCCACGCGCAGAATGTCCGCCCAAGGAATCGCGATCTTCTCGGAGAGAATTCCCACCACAGCTATCGCCATTGCCCACAGAGTCACTACAGGGTTCATCGCCGCTCATGCCACGATCATCACCGTCGCTGCGCTGAGAATGTCCGCCCACACTGTTGCCCAAACGTTCCTCCTCAGCGCTTAGAGGATGTCCTCTTGGTGAACTCACATCACGACCATCGCTATTGCCGCGTTGAGAATGTTCGCCCACAGAGTCGCTGCCGCGTGGATCATCGTCGCTTCGAGGCTGATCTCTAAGATTCACGCCAGGCCCATCGCTGTCGCTGCACGGAGAATGATCGCCCACGGAAACATCATCCGCGTTGCTTGGAGGATAGCCTCTCAGCGAACTGCTTCCTCCGACGATAGGTTCACGCCTAGGAGGATTGCCCTCCCCGGAAACACTGGGAGGACACGTCGGCAAAACTGGCGCTGATGAAATCAATCCTCCAAGGCCACCATCAGCCGATCGTTTCTCATGAACGTTACCTAGTAATGTGGTTAAAACACGTATATCACACAGACTTCACCTTTCGAGTTGTCATCCGCAGCTGCACCATCGCTTTTCTTTCCGAGGTCCTCGGGCACAACACATCGAAAAGCGCCGCTTCTTCCTGCTTGGGTCGAGGAACGGAGTTTGCGCGACATTTCACGTCAAAGATGCGAGGAAAATTGAAGAATGAATGGTTGGAAACAGAATTGAGTACTCTGTTCCGATCGCCTAACCCTCAATTGTACTACGTACGGGCATATACATACATTAAGTGTTCACAACAAGTACGTACAGTGTACGATGTACTGTTTATATATGGTTAAAGTATTGAAAGACGTACTGTACGTACATAAAGTACTTTCATAATCCGAGAGGATATCCTCCCAGCTCAAAAACAAAGACTGTGTGCTAAAATACAATGCAGAAATCAGTTCAACGTAACAAGGACGGGATTCACATGTCAACACCAAGCAACATGGCGTGGAATCAATATGCCAATACAGCCAGCCACTGTGTGTACGGGTTTCGGCCACGCCTTCCAAGAGTGTATCACGAAGGTATGTTGGACCGGGTATGTAGGCACACACCATCACAAGCTGCATTGTATGCATAACTCAACTCGGCATCTCGAACGCGGGTCCCTATCCCAATACTGTAACTCAAAACTTCGGTTATACCGTTTCTTCATGCTACAGTACGGATAATGTGGGGTTTATCCGGGTGGGTTTTTCCCCAAATCAGCAGTATGTTCCCAAAATCTTCAGTTATTGGGACGTCCGAGCTAAATCTGGCGAAAGGGGGATAAAAACACCCGGATATATCCCCAAATTATCTGTAACTTCGAAGTACCACTATTGTAACAAGCTTTTGGGATAGGGACATCGATATTTGCGGATGCGGTGGAGATGCTCTTATGTATAAAGTTGAGTTAGATATTGATCGGTAGTTTGTATGAGTGTCAGTACTTCAGGACTTACTCATACTACCTCTCGAGTTAAAAATATATACTGAAGATATCAAAAGTGCATTCAGTTAGTTCGCTTAACGTCATCAAACTACATCTAACAGCGCACAACTAGGCAATATGCTCCTTCAGACGACGGAACCAGGGTTCAAAACAAGCGTCTTAAACCAATCGATACCGCTCTGCTCGATAGCTTGGACTAGTCCAATTTTAGTCGGTCTTGTCAAGAATGGACTTCCATTGCGCCTGTGAGCTCGGAACCCAAAATTCGAGTAGAAACGAATGCGAACTCTGAGCAAAATGTCGTTTCCAACATCGGTCAATGCTTTTTCAACTTGAGCATCCGCGATTGATGCTTCGCCGCAATCAACGATGGTTTCAGTTGGAGTGACAGCTTCGGTAACGGTTTGGTTAACTGAAACAGCGGCTGTTGACGCTTCGCTCCAATCAATAACTCTTTCAGTTGCAGTGACAACTCGATGAAACTCAAGGACCTCCTCTTCGTCTAACGTCCAGGCATCGTCCTCAAGTCGGAGGGTGGCGCTTGGTCGGGACCTTTTCGGAGGACGAGTGCTCGCGACATGGGTATCGATAGTGGTTTGTGTCAGCTGGGGTCTGCTAGCAAGTTGAGCTTGGTGCAGCCAATACAAATCACCAGATCTTGGTAAGCCATGGCCCTTTCGTTCGATAAACCTTGGAGTTGGATTCGAAGGTGTTGAGTGATCTATCCCACGAAAGTCTTGCAATAGAGATACTTTTTCAATGGCTTGGACTTGTCGTAGTGGGGTGCCAGCCGGAGTGCTTCCATGATAGTGTGACGCTTGTAAGAACACGTCCAATGAGCCATCACCATCAGCTATGGCGTGACCTGCCACCACTTCGGCTGCACGTCGTTGGACAAAAACTTGTCGACCTTCTACATTTTCTTGCGAGAACACCGTATAGTACACTTGACGACTGACAGTGTCGGAATCAAACAGTGGAACGTTTGATCCTTCCAAAATCGGTTGGGTTGCAACTGCCACGCGAACATCGCACTCGGCTTTCACCTCGGCACTTCGATGGACCCCGTTTCGATCCATAACCATGCGACGAAGCTCGATACACTTGTCGTCTTTGCTAAGCCCACGAAGTCTGTCCTTCTTCTTCGAACAAAATGTATCGCGCCAACTTGACTTGTGCATTTCAGCAATTCTAAGGCTCAAACCAAAGAGAGATACGTTTGTGTCGCTGAATCGTCCCGTGGCTTTATCTCGGGCCTTGTACACTTTCGATCCCTTGGACTTCACGCACTTGGCGTAAACATTGAGGAAGATGTCCAGCAACAATTCTTGCATCTCATCGGTGTACAGAGATCGAAACTCTGCCAAATCGGCAGCACCTTGCTCGTCTTGCACTGGTGCATCAAGAAGTCCAACGTTCTCAGGTGCCGAGTGGCCATGATCTAGGTACCAACTCCACACCTTGGACTCGTTGTCGAAAGTCACGTGCCGACTTAAATAGTTCTGGCACAGATGACTTGTCATTCCCATTTCTTGAGCGACAAATGCTAGGGGAACCTTGAACACATCTTTTGCAAGATGCTCAAAACGGCCCCTCGCTGGACCAATAGTCCGCATATGGCGAATGGAGCTCTCGATGTTGGAAAGGTACTTGAATACCGGGTACTTGATAACTTTGACAAAGTTGAAGAGCTTGTCAAACTCGCGCTGAAATGCCCCCACTGCCCCAAGGAATGTAAAGGAGCTCACAGTAATCTCAACACGGAAACCTGTAAAGTGCTCCAAGTACTTTTGGGACACACTTCGTTCAAAGAAGGATTCGAACAGTGCTTCCAGGTCTTCATAGCGCTTTTGGCAGTTCTTGTTCGTTGATGGGTGTGGCATATTCCCAATACGGCGTTTGTTCGCGTTCTTGATGAGATGGACGACTTTTGGATAAACTTTCACCTTGTACGCCAGGTCCGAAAATTCGTCTGACTGTGTCATCGAAACGCCACCGCCAACAACGTACTGTTCATGAACACATCCGTCGAGCGATTTGGAGTAATTCATGAAGTTATTCCAAACTTTCGACGTGTACGAGGAGTATGGTCCAAACCCATTCTTGACCAAAGCGACTTTCCGCACAGCAAACACGGCGAGATCTGGCATTTTGAAGTTCACTCCGATGTCAAACACTGGTCGGTCTGCTTCCATAGTTTGTCTCGATGCTATATCCCAAATCCACTTGTAGCTCCATACATCTGCTTTTGCGCCGTAACCAATAATCACAAGCTTTACCGTGGGAGCAATCGAGACCAAAATGGTGATCAGGTCCATGGCACTGATGAACTTGCTAGTAGCGCAATGAATAACGTGCCTTGGGTATGGTTTCCCTGGTACGCGAGGAGGGGGGAAGTAAACTTGATCTTGATGCTTGATCAACTCGGACAGAAAGGCAGAAGCGTAGCATGTGGGGATGTACACAAAGCATGGTCGCATGAGTATCAGTGTGTGCTTTTTCAGATACTTCTTTTCGCTTGACTTGTCGGCAACCTTTCGCTCCCTTGTCGCCAGCTCCCAATCTCCTGCGCAAATTTGGTACAAGTCCTTGATTGAAACGACCAATCGATAGTAGTCAATGTCGTATGAGGTATCGTCATGTAGCTCTGGAATGTATTCCACGCCATCAGGGTCGCTGTCTTCATTGAAATAGCTTTGGTCATCGCCATGAAAAGCTACTTGGACATCACAGTGATCGTCGTTGTTTGCAAGATTGTCGTTGTCGATGTGGTGGCCTTGACGTAGCATAGCTTGAATCAAACGGTGACTTTCATAATCCATAGCTTCAACGCTGGGCCGGCCAATGAACGCATTAATTTCGTCAATCATGTTAAAGCTCGGGTGCTGTTTGTAAAAGTCAAACATGCGATCAAACAGGTCTTGAGCACCTTTGTAGATTCCGCGAGGCATGTCTTCCAACTCGTCATCCCAGAATTCTTCACCAGTGTCGGTGTATCCGAGGAATCGTCCTCTTCTACTTGGAGGACATCCTCCGAGGTGGACCAAACTTGACCCACCGTTGATGCTCGGACCAAATGGACATCGTACACTGGCCACATCATGTCGACTAACCGTACTCAGATTGTCATCTGGGATGGACTTCCACTCGTCGTCTGAACACTCGTCAGGGTTGTATCCGTAGCCGTAAAAACGCCTTGAAGAACTGGGAGGGTGTCCTCCAAGCGGTACACGGTCTTCACGTTGTCCTCGCTGATGGTATGACTGTGCATCAATGGCAAGACCGCCGGAGGAATTCCCTACGAGACTCACTGCGTCGTCTTTCACGTCTGGCAGCAAGTCGTCATCATCGGACTTTGGTGCTGAAGCAAGCAGATCTCTTCGCAATGGGATGACGGTGTCATCTGGGATAGACTTCCACTCGTCGTCTGAACACTCGTCAGGGTTGTATCCGTAGCCGTAAAAACGCCTTGAAGTACTGGGAGGGTGTCCTCCAAGCTGCACACCGTTTTCACGGGATCCTCGCTGATAGCATGCACTGCTCTGTTCTACAAGGTTGTGACCGCTGGGTGGATTCCTTGGGAAATCAACCACTCTGTCGCTGTTGTTGTACTCCGATAGACCAACGACTCCAGGGCTCAGATGGTCAGCTGCTTGGACGTCTTCTGGGAAGTCACTCATCCTGGCTAACTTCTTCTGTCGCCAGATACGAGGTGGCATCTAAAATAACAGAGACTATCATTAAAGTTCCAAGAATATAGTTTTAAACTTACGTGTTTTAAACAGCAGATTAGTGAATAGAACTGTACTTTAAATGCTTCAAACACAATGGTACAATAACTATGATCGAGAGCTTATGTCCCTACAATGATATCGTGATTTCACGCGTGGGAGTTCGTTATCCGAATTCCGTATATTGTCGCCCTTCTATTTTTCTTTTATATATTCGATCCTTGTTATGCTTGGCGCACAAACGGATAGTTCAATATTGATCTTCACCAGTCGCCCCACGTACTTCAGGCTTCCATAGAGCTCATCGTCCGCATCGAGTCTGCTGATTCTCCATTTACAATCTCCACTCTCTTCTACATCCAAGTAAAATGAGTCGCTTACTACTTCAATCGTGTAGCTATTAATACTTGGTTGTTCGAAAGTTCACTGGAAACCATACTGTTTCAAGCCACTCACTACTTGAGATTTGTACCAAGCAGAATATTGGACTTCGATTTTCACTCAACATACTAGTCACACTAGGCTCTCCCTTCTCGAGGGGGTCTTTTCTATATCAAGCTGATAGTCCGATTTGAACTTTCATTGATATCCTCGTAATGCTAGGCTCTCACTTCTTCGTCCTTGCAACTAGCTGATAGTCCATTTATAATCTTCCTCAAACGTAGTTAACTTTACAAGTATTGAAATCGATGGCATGGCTTCGTCTAATCGTCAAAAGCAGCATAGTTCACTTAAAATATACACAAGATTCCACGATTTGTATAAATTTCAAATCAAATCGGCCAAGATCAATATTGCATCAATTACTAAATATATGTATGTAATACAAAAACCAAGATAAAGAGGGTTACACAAGACCAACTCTACTTACCTAGGGATAACTCTATCTCTTTGTACAATATTAGAGAGAATGGTTTTGGTTTTTCGTCCATAAATCAAAAAGTAGTCCACAACACCCCGAATCCAAGACCACTTC